TTTTTTTTTTTTTTAAGGTACAGTTGACTTAAGATATTATATTAGTTTCAGGTGGATAACATAGTGGTTTGACATTTGTGTACATTGTAAGACGATCACCACAGTAAATCCACCATGCAAAGTTGACACAATATTACCAACTGTATTTCCCAAGCCTTGCATTCCATCCCAGTGACTTACTCTTTTATAACTGGAAGTTTGTGCTCTTCGATCTCCTGCACCCAAGTCACCACCCCCCACCCCCAAGTCCCTCCCTTCTGGCAGCTATCAGTCTGTTCTGCATTTGTGAGTCTGGGTTTTGTTTGGTTTGGTTTTTAAGTTCTGTGTGTAAGCCAAATCATGTAATATTTGTCTTTCTCTGACTTATTTCACTTAACATAATACCCCCAAGATCCATCCACATTGCTACAAATGGCAAGATTTCATTCTTTTTTATGGCTGAATAATATTCGTGTGTGTGTGTGTGTGTGACATCTATCCATTCATCCATTGGTGGACACTTTAGTTGTTTTCATATCTTGGCAATAGTAAATAATGTTGCAGTGAACATAGGGATACGTACTTTTTTTTTGAATGAGTGTTTTCATTTTCTTTGGATAGATACCTGGTGGTAGAACTGCTGGATCATAGGGTAGCTCTAGTTTTAACTTTTTGAGGCACTTCCATGCTGTTTTCCACAGTGGCTGAACCAGTTTATATTCCCACCAACAGTGCACAAGGGTTCCCCTTTCTCCACATCCTTGACAACACTTGTTATTTCTTGTCTTTTTGATATTGTCCATTCTGATTGGTGTGAGGTGGTATCTATTTGTGGGTTTGATTTGTATTTCCCTGATGATGAGTCAGTCGTGTTGAGCATCTTTTCATGTGTCTGTTGGTTATCTGGATGTCTTCTTTGGAAAAGTATTCAGATCTTCCCATCTTCTAATTGGATGTCTTCTGTTGTTATTGAGTTGTATGAGTCCTTTATATATTTTGGATATTAACCCTTATCAGATAGATAATTTGCTCTTTATCCTTGCTCAGGGGCCATGCTAATGTTCTCTGTATCATTCCAGTTTTATTATATGTGCTGCCAAAGTGAGCACCACTCACAAAGTGAGCACTTTACAGGTACCTTCTCCCGTTCTGTAGGTGCCTTTTTGTTGTGTTGATGGTTTCCTTCACTGTGCGGAAGCTTTACAGTCCGATGTAGTCTCAATTGTTTATTTTCTTTTTTTGTTTCCCTTGACTTTGCAATCTGATCCAAAAACAAACAAACAAAAAACACCGCTAAGTTTGATGTCAAGGAGGTTACTGCC